ACATTGAGATGAAGACAGCATGTCATGAACTGATTTGGTCACAACATCTTACTTTTACAAAACTATTTCTGTCAGTACAAACAAAATGAATGATTTATGAATAAAAATAGATACTCCACCATGAAGCAGTAAACAAGAAGACAGAATTTGAAAGCTTTTATTTTCATAGCCATTCTCCCTTATCATTCACACTCCGTTTTTATAACGATTCATATCATTTTATGTCCTCTTACATCCGCACAACATTTCTCCCCTCTGACTCCTGAGGCACACACACTGGTGCGGAGCATCAACATCTGGAGATGGGTTGCCGGGCGCTGTACTACGGCGACCACTGCTCCTGATGGAAGCCTAAATGGCATCAGGATAGATCAAATGCAGAAGATCAATTTCCCTACGGGGACAACAAAGTGCACATTTTACATTAAACGGCTTGAATGGAAAAAACTGATTTAGAAAATGAGTTGGTCATACCAGACCTTGGTAAACACAGAAGACAACAGTGAAATAACTCCGGCCACAGTCCAAAAAACCCACTTCTGGGTAGAATGGTGAGCGATTGTGTGTCTGACCCATGGATCTATTATAATAACTGGATAGGGTAGTACTAGCTTGTAGCTGAATAACTCAAGTGCTCGGGGGATTCTCGCAGTACTGCAGACTAGACCAGACTAAATTCACGTGGGCTACGCAGAAATTTTCCCCATAGGACTCAATGCATATTAAAACAGCTCTACCTCAGCTGACAGAGAACCTACAGCTTTAATAAAGATCGGATTTTGTGGGGATTTTAGTGTCCCTTGTCATCCTGAACTTTTTTTCTTCTTAAATCCTTCGGTTTTGTTTAAATCCACACTTTAGTGCCACAAACTCTGCTCGTCTGGCTCTCGCTCTAACTCCCGCTCTGATTGGTCAGAGCGCAGCCGAGCCCCTCTGTGCACCGGTGTGAGACCCTCACACGCGTGTTTGGCGCAACGCATTATAGGAGATCATCCACTGCGCATAACCGGGAGGACCAGACGATGCCCAAATACAGGCGAGTTTCCCATAGATCTTTGCGAGTTTCCCATAGATCTATGCGAGTTCCAGGCGACTTCTGCTAATCTTTCAGCCCCCATGCCGTCACAAAGCGCCACTGAGCACAACCATTCATTTGAATAGGGCACCATCTTGGATCGCCGGGGCTTGGTCTGACCGTTTGAATGGAAAGTTTATCTGGGCCATAGGAGCCCCCTACCTGCCCTGGTAGAGAGATAGATTCGATGCTGGGGTCTTTTGGGTCCTAGGCTACATACCTGGGATAGGCCGATGACGCGCCCTGTGGCTAGCTTGACAGCTGTTACCTTACAACTGGTCTGTTGGGTTGATAACATGGATCTAATAGGTTGATATGGGACTATTAATGAATGGATCGGCCTGATATCTTCATCGGCTAATAAATGGGCAGGGCATGCGTCCCTCTTTGGTCTTTTACAGCTCTGCTCAGCGTTCCATGGGGCCTCTTCGGGAGTTTGTGGTTTTGCACCGACTCATAATCTTTGTTATGTGGTGATAATCTCTTATCACCATATTACAGACAATATCACTGATCAGGAAACACATGAAGCCGCTGAATCATTTGAATCAGTCTGTGACTCGTGAATCTACAGAACCGAGCTTTAATGAGCCAATCTGTGCCTGCAGCTGCTGTGATGCCTTTCTGCTTTCCCCCTTAATCTGGTCATCGTTGGAAAAGTCCTCCTCAGTAAGCTCCACCAAACACTGCGCACCAAACACTAAGCCACTCAGACTGGATTGAGGTCTGTGCGGCAGAGATATAATCAGCTTTTTTGGCCTTTTGATTAAAACAGAGATTACTGCCACGTGGGACGACGATTCAGAGCAGAGAGATACGGGTTTTGTTTGGTCTTAATTGTTAAATAAATGCACAAAAAGAAATAAGTCTGAATGGAAGTGAAAGCTGGTCCTGGGGTGGGCAGTTATCACGCTGTGTTTTCTCACTGGGTGCTATGTTATTGTGGGTCCAAACACAATAAGCAATAAGTTATTCAAAATGTAGTAATAAAAGATTCAAATACAACATTTTATACAATTAGTATAAGTGAAAGTGAACATTTAATAAACAGCCACAGGGATCACAGATAATCATAATACAGAGAACAGACTGTCCCTGACCACGTCACTGGACTGTTCCGCCCCAGACACATTAATTAGACTATGACTTCACATACCCACAAACAATGAGTGAGAAAAGATTGTTTGCGTTATCATTCATAATCTAAAATATGGCCCAAAAAATACTAATGTCTGTTTGTATGTGCAAAGGTCTGTATTTCAATGAATCCTCCTCTGCCCTGGCTTTGGTCCATCGTGCGTTAAAATGGCCGACGCAGATGATAAACATGGACTTGATTAAATTATTGGAGCAGACACGAGACAACCGGATCTGTGTCTGCAACAAGCGGCTCCAGCGCTGCCATAGCAACGCTCTGATAAGGAAATCACAATGTGCATGTTTTCAAACACAAGTGGATATGAGATGAAAGACGGGCAGAATCGCTAATGACAAAGCGGAGCATCACAAGAATACTGATCAAATACAAGTGCCATGCTGTTTAAATGCTTTGAATTGGGAAGAACTGGCAGTCATTTAGACTTTAGTCGAGATGGTGGTCTGATTTTAAACTGAAGGACGTATATCCAAAATGCTTTGAAACACCACCGGCTTTAACTTGTGTCCAGGTTTTGTCCAAATACTGGAGGGTCTACGGACGGTGGTGATGATCGAGGATACTTGACCTTAAACAACATTTATCAACATTTATGGACATTGGTCATCCGCCCCGCCCTGATGGACAAATAGCTCTAATGTGTATTACAGTGGGGCAAAACGTATTTATTCAGCCACAAATTGTGCAAGTTCTCCAACTTAAAAATGATTCTCTGATCTGTGTTGGCGAATTAAACGGTTTTCTAAAGTCCTCCAAGATAACTACGTCTGTGATTTAGGGCTATACATACATGTACGTACTTTTATCACAGAACAATGGAACAGTTTTGGGGTATCACTGCGTCACATGCGAGGTTCCTTTTTCAGGATACAACATGTTTTCTGATAGGTGAAGGCTGCATGCAGTAGTAGTATTTTTTATTGCAAGTTGACGTGATAAAACCTCTTTTTTGGGGAACCAAAGTCAAATAACATTAGTCTTTATGATGCCATTTTCCCACTGTCACACACGTTTCTGATTGATTACAATACTTGTCTATGTCTGTGTTTGCGGCTGGTGATGTTCAAATTTGGAAAAGAAAAAAATCTTTTTTTTAACATAGTAAAACAAGAACAGTTTTGGTCTAATCCTTTGCAACTCTTTGAGGCTGAACAAATTGACAACAATCAAGACAAATGTTGCCTAATTTAAGTCATTTCGATTTTGTATTTGGTAAATTTTCACAGTATGTTTGTTATTATTGGAACAATGTAATATTTTTTCTACAGTTCATACGCCAATATTTTTACTATACGCACGCACGCAAACACACATACTTCATATTTTGAGTTTGTTTGAATATTGGCCAATATTGTATTTCATCTATTGTCTCCTCTGTAGGGAAATTGAGTTGAGTTTTCAAACTCCAGAAAATACCAGTGTGAGTGAAAAACAGCAGGTGCAACACATTCTTCTAAACCTTGTCCGGTTTTGGGCCTGAGCTCAAAAACAGAAGCCATAAGCCGCTGTGATATCATGTGATAAGCCTAATGGGAGATAACCGGTGGATCCTTCACATTCGAGCGGCTGATAACGCAAAGACATATGCCATTGCAAAAATGTCAGGAACCAGGAACAAACGAAGCAAATTGAATCATCCGGAGTGCGGAACCCTCGACAGGCGTGGAGCGCGTCGGCGAGGAATGCGTCCTTTGATCCTGTGAAAGGGCTGTCAGCGCCGTGTCTGCTGTAATTAGTGCGGCGATTACAAGACAATGATATCACACATGAATTAGTGATCATGATAAGAGCAATCAGGTGATAGGTTTGCAATCCATCACATTATATTTGTACATTTTTCATATATACTTTGTTGGGGTTGAATAAAAATATTTTGTTTTTTAATTTAGTAATATAAAAGTATTTATACTTTGTTCAATATTTCGACTCAATGCGGTGCTGTGTACATAGTGAATGAATACTGCCATGAGAAACATCTTTGAGTGTTCTAAGTTTTATATCGCCAGGCTCGGAAAAAGACCCAGCTCTAGTACTGTGTTATTTTGTTTAGAAAGTGTTTTAATTTTGTATGTACACCATATATGGATAAACATTTGTTCGAGGTTGTCAGATCGCGTTTTCCGTCACCGATCGAATGCAGATGTTGTCATTGTGTGACTGGCTGCGGAACAATTTAAATGGCTGGTTTTAAAGGCTTTCTTTTATATATACTACACATATCTGTTTTTTTAAAGGTGGATTTGATGGTGGAGATGCTAATGCGTGAGTTAGCAATTAGAATATTCGTAGCTATAATCTTTTGTACACCATACACAGTGTCTTATTCCATCATCAACGGATCAGCCAACTTTTCTGATCCTAAAATAAGACACTTGAGGCCTCCTTCAATAAGCGTTTGCTCATGTGCAGAAGTGAGTAGCATCCCTAAAAATAGAAGCAAACAGACTTATTATGCACACGTCCTATTGAACTAAAAGGGATATTGTGCACGTTTATTTTAGACGTGGATTTTTAAATAAGACTCTTCGTGCAAGTTATTACAGAAATTGGCCGAGCTATAGACACATCACCTCTCACTGAGCTGGATGTGCAGAAGTTCCATTTTTTATTTTTTTTAAGTGTTCATTAGAGAGGATAGACTCAGGTGTTACTCAAAAAAATCTGCACAAAAAATAATGTTTCCTTTCGTCTCGTCTTTTCTAGATCTCCAAGCTGTGAGCGTCGAATTAACTCACTGACCGCTTCAGACGGACTGACTCGGCAGCTGCTATGGAGAATTTAAGTGAACTCCAGAATCCGTTGCTGGACAAAAACACTAAGCACATGGTCAACGGATACGGCGGCGATGTTCCCAACAACCAATACCAGGAGAACATCATCAACTACTTTTCCGGTGACGTGGCGAGCGGCAACAAAGTGTCCAACGGTACGTCGGTGACCACCAACGGGCGCATCAAGACGCAGCAGCTTCTGGACGCCACCTCTTTGCACTTGGCGGTGGAAGCTTTCTACACTCCCAACTTCATCTTGTACAAAGAGGACAACGGCAGCATCAAAGCCAAGGAATACAAAAGCGAGTGTTGCGAGACCACTTTCACGGAGAAGAAGAGCAAAGAGGGGTCCACGCCTACCGCAGGAGGAGAGGCGGAGGAGCCCCAGGGCAAGACTCTGGAGGACGGGGATCATGTGAAAATCCAGACTGTGTCCTATGAGGTGGAAGAAGAGGAGTACGTGGAGTATGAGGTGAGAGAGGCTTTACGTTTTCCCACAATTGTGATGTTTAGTGCGCCTCATTTCTTCCATAGTTACGATGGATATACTTGAAATTTGATTCAAAATTGGGGAGTTTGTTTCCAATGTTGGGAGGAATGAAGCAGCAGATGGGACGTTAGTAGTACAACCATCACAGAGTAGTAAAGCTTGTATCATTTACACAATAGAGGAATGATGAGTAGAAACAGGAGGCAACACATTATCTTACTGAATGATTTTTTTAAACGCCAGATAGTTTTTTATGATTCAAAATTGTGCCATAATGGTCTCTGAATTGTATTGGTCCATACCGGGTATTGTTTGCTTTTGAAAGCTAATGTTCACTAATAATGGAAGTAGTACAAACCAACTGCTTTGGATACCAATATAAAACATTTTTGGGTAGTGATTATTGTGTGACTATATCAATAATGAAATGCTAACAGCTAACTCTGCTTCTATCTGAGGGCTCTTATTTCCTTCTTTCTCTGCTGTAATGTGCACAACGATGACACTGAAATCTCTCCACTGTGGGACGAATAAAGGAATATCTTATCTTATCTTGTGCGGCACTTACATGGGACTTGTGTGGATTTCAAATAGATTTAGCAGCAGTTTGGTGCTGTTTATGGCTTTAAAACTAGGAATCACAATACATTTTTTGATTGAATGTATAGATTTTTGGTGAAGGTGAACTTGCGTGAATGATTGTTGTTGTTTTTTTCTCACTGCTGAATTCTAGAAGCAACATATGGCATATTATGGATGAACATGTGTTTATGATCTCGGCTTTGGCCTGGCATGATCTTTCGAGGACATATTACAGTCATCAATAACAGACGCGACATGTTAGCTTTTTACATGGGGTTGGTTTGTCGTGTCTTTGTAGGTACCTGTAGAGCTTTGACAGAATTAGTTGGTTCAAGGTTCAAGGTTCAACTTTAATGCCCCCGAAGGGAAATTTGTCTTAGGCTCAGAGTGCTGTTGGACACAAACAAACAAGACACTCTCAACATCAAAACATCTGATCAATTTTCAAGGCAGGAATATACCATAATATTGCACGATTCCATAAGTGCCAAGATACCAATCAACCAGTCATTCAAACATCCACAATTAAAACTGTATTTACACAATAAGCAACAAAGTACACACAATGACGAAAGTGCTAGTGCAGAAGTATATTGCACATGCCCATACAAAGTGCTTGTGCAGTTGGAAAGACTAAAAGCATTGCACACTCTTGATTACAGAATAAGGAGATACATGAGAGCGACGGAACATTGCGGGTGAAATTTGTGAAATCCTGAGAAACAATGTCTGATGAAAGTCCTACATTCAGAGAACACAGTTGTAATGAACGCACTGTAGAAATGAAGACAGACCGTTTCTTTTGTGAGCAAGGAGTGGACGAGTTTGTGCCTTTAGTATGCTAAAGATAGAGACTTTATACTTACTTATCATGATGCTAAAGTCAGAGATGTTATACTTCCTTTTTGATTCTTTATTATGCTGCAGTTGGAGTTTTCATTATATGTGTTGTTAGTTTTATTCTGGAGTTATTGTTCATTTGTCTTGTGAACGCTTCTCATTCCTACTGTTCTGCAACCGGTGATGCAACACTGAAATATCTTCTCTGTTGGACGAATAAAGGATTTCTTATTGCTGTGGATGAAGCCAAAAACATGACTATTATTGATGAGGAAACAATGCAGTTAAAATTACAGAAAAGGCATGTTTTTTCCGCATGAAGGTCACATTGAAGGCTGTGGAGGCATTTTCCCATTTGGATTTGGTCCTCTGCAAACAGACAGGTGTGGAGGAGAGCAATGGCTGCTGTCTCAGGGGGACACGGTGCAGCATTTCTGAATTGTGCTATTGGCAGAATGCATTTGACAGAAGAAAGCTCCAAGTGAGGGAAGTTCACACTAAAGTCAGACCTACACTTGGCGTTTGACTTGAGCCACATCGGATTTGTCAAGACACAAATACTTTAGTATTCCTGCTTCAAAACCACACCGCTCTCAGGGGACAAGATCACTATTTTGTTTACTGTAGCTTCAGGCTGTGTTGCAGAACACAAAAGAGATAAAGCTTGTGCAGTTAGAGTGAATAAGGCTTTATTAAAGGCTTTTTGACTGAAATAACCCTATAACCCTATAACCCTAACCCTGACCCAGTGGATACATACTAAAAACACCAATGTGTGTATGTTACAAGACCTTCCTCAGTGTAAGAGTAGGAGCCGGGGGAGGATGTCTTCCATTTAAAGGCACTGCCTCATTGGTTCAGCACTAGGGGTCACAATATTAGGATTTATATTATATTAGATAATGTATATAGGATTATTTCTATCTGTCAGTAAAGATAAACCTGCCGAACATTTAACCAAAATTAATACACAATAATGTTTGTCCCAGCTATGGAAGTAAAATGTGAAAGCAGACCACAACTGCTGTTTCGTGTCATGAGAAAACATGAAAGAACCATGTGAGTCACTATTTCACACTTTGGGCTGAGAGCTGATTGGCTGAGTGAGGGTGGTCCTCTTTATTATTTCTGTCTGAAAAAGAGAATCTTAATTTGTGACGGAAGCCAAAAAAAATGTGAGAAACCAGCGATCGAAACAAAACTGTTGAGTGTGAATGGCACTTACTGCAAAGCACCATTCATTTTGGTTCTTGAAAACACATTCTTGATTTCCTAGTATGGCTCGTTATGAACACAATTTTCTCAGATCTCATTTGGAGGCGATTGTTTAGAAAAGAGCAGCTCCGACTGTGACGGTTTGCAAATATGTTTTCTAATAAGATGAAGACAGTTTGTTGTGGTCTAAATTTGAGATGAGTTTTGTGTTGGCAAAAACAAGTGTTATTTATGAGAAGTAGAAGTTAGGTTCCCCAACTTTAAAAAATAAGCATTACCATATATACAGTATTTCTAAGCACATACCCAGTCCAGAATTGCCCATGTGGACTAGTGCAGACAGTGTGGGAGCATTCCTTAAAAAAGATATTGTAAGTAAAGTGGATTTGGAAAAATGTCTTTCCGATATATGCAGCACGTCACTTACATGGAAATAGAAATAGAACATTCCACATGGGGTTATCCAAGATTTACACCAGACAGCATAAGATTATATCCAATGGAATTCTCAAACTCATTTTTCTTTTTCTTTTTTACTTTACAGCTTTATAAATTGCTTTCCACCCCATCGTTGCGGTATAATGCAAAAAAAAAAAAATCCATGCGTCAATATTTGCCATTCCAATTCCACAGCGCAAATCCAGCCTGATCCACTGACCTTGACCTCCATTTCCCACAGATGTCAAAATTCCCCAGTAGATTATGACAAACACGGCTCCCATCGCCAAAAGGTATTACCCAGTGCGGGATGAAGCACTCCAGGGGATTTGGAGGGAATATAGGCAGGGGATGTGGAGCGTCCCAGTGTATGTTGGGCTAATGGACAGTCTGACACGCCGCCATGATCCTGGAGACGTGAGACCGGCGGCTTGATGAGGCCCGAGCTCTGCCATGATCGGAAATGGCAAATAATGGCAAATAAATGAATCTGAATCTGATCTGATGCAAAGCTCCTTTCAGATACGGGCCAAAAAAAAAAAAAGGTACAAGAGACACAGGATACACATATGGTTCTGCACTCTGCATTAGGGCTTTGTAACTGACTGTAACTACCTGTTGATGGTATGGTATGGTATGTACTTTATTTGAGTAGGGACAGTGTACGATTAAACGTTAACACAAAGGGCAGAGGCACTGATCAATTAGCAGACTGGAAAAGAAGGCGTGGCCAATGATCTAAATGCTACTAACCATACCTCACCCAAACTGAACTCAAAAACGCAAAGAAATTCAACGGTTTTCTTAAGTCCTCTGTGATAACTACTGTTGTGATTTAGGGCTATACAAGAATACAGAGATGGCCAGGATAAGTCTCATTCTAATGGGCAATTCTGAATGTGCAGCGCTTTTAAAAAGTATTTCACACCATTGTATCAACCACAAACACAAAGCAAAATTATACAGGACATAACTTTATTGATTAAAAAAGAAGAAAAGTGGGGCTTAGTATTCATACAGCATTCTTCTGTATTAAATATCATCAACCTGGGAGCTATGTTTAGAGATTCCTTGGACATAATGAAATCCAAGGACCCCCCGTACCCCAGAGAGGTTAGGAATAAGTTGTGGAGAAGTTTAAAGCATGGTTTGATTATGCAAAGATTTCCCAAGGAGCACAATTCAATCCATTATTCGGATGACTCTGGAGGAGCTGCCAAATTCTGCAACTCCCCTAGGACAATCTGTACATGGGGCAAATACTTATTAGTCATACACTACACAAATGTGGCCTTGGTGGTAGAGTGGTAAGAGATAGACATCATGTTTGCAGTTTTCCAGAAGTCATATGGGGGACAGCTAACATGTGCTAGAAGGTGTTGTGGTCAGATCAGATACGTTTTTTGGCCTAAAGGAAAAAATATATATAGCACAAAATTGACCCTCAATATCACCCTCAATGATTCTAGACATAAAGCAGAGTCACAAAGGAATGGTAAAATAATATATTAGTGTGTTAAAATAGCCCAGTCAAAGTCCAGACCTAAATCTAATTCTTATTCCAAATTGCTCCATCTAAACTGCCTTGTCTTGTGAGGATGAATGCGCAAGCTTGTACGGTCTGAAGTATTCACTTTGCATGCACTTTTTATACAATACTGCTGTGTGAACAGTGCCAGCTTTGCTTTTCAATTTGTGAATGAAAAATCATGTATAATTTTGCTTTGGCGTCTCAGTTGTCTAATACTTTGTTCTGGTCTTTCAGAAAAAAAATATTTATGTTTGTGGTCATAATGTGCAAAAGTTGTATTAGGGCTGTATTCAATAAGCTACTGTAAAACGCTTAAAAGTGTAATTTGCAGAGCTGTGATTGGCTGGTTTGACTTTGCTCTGTGTCATAGACCTCATCGTGTCATGGCTGAGCTCATTCAGAAGTTCATTCATTATGTAAGTGTGCGCCCTGTACTTTCCACTTGGATTCTCCTCAAAGGTTAAGTGCAGACATTACCATAAGTTCCATGTCTTTTCTGACCTCAAATGATCTCGTACACAAAACTGCACACAAGCAAAAACGAAAGAGTTCTAAGGAATAATATGCATAATTTGTGTTCATGATCTCGAGTTTGCCTTTCGGTCGCAGAGAACATAGTAAGTTTTAAATAAACTGTGCAGTGGTTCTTGAACTTAATCGGTCACAGTATGTAGCAAAGATGTCTGTAAAGCCCATATATCAAAATGTCTCTAAAAACTTTACGACATTGCTGATTTGCAGAATAGAAAATCAACAGTTAAGTGGTCAACAACAAATTAACACTAAAAAAAACAAAAAAGCATCAGTTTTATATTTTTGGACACTCAAAGACACTTTACGTGTCGTTATTCATTCACTCCAAACACTGTGGTGATGAACTACTACTGTAGCCACAGCTGCCCTGGGGCACACTGACAGAAGCGAGGAAACCAGTAGAAAGGGGGGCCCCATCAGACCACCACCAAGTAGTAATAGTAATCTTTCTTTATTCTATTTACCAACCATTCATACACACACCAGACTCATTCTAGGCAATGGGGGTGAAATGTCTTGCCTAAGGACACAACGGCAGTTTGGCACTTTACAGCCACAGCCACCCCACTGTGGCACCTGGTGTTCCCGGAGGTTAAGTGTCTTGCCAACAACAGCAGACATCGGGAGTCGGTGGAGAAAGTTTTGTGGTGAACCCACGACCTCCAGGCTCAAAGACCAATACTTACCAACTGAGCTACTGTCGCCCCCACAAGTAGTGAAGATAAATACATGTTTGTATTATTTTTCTTTATTAATCA